GGTCGACAGAACAAGATGATTTAAATGGCAATTCCAATGAGTTGTCTGCAGAAAGGCGTTTGGCATTCTCTTCGGCAGTTTCCAATGGACTGTGGAATTGATTTTTTATTATTGATTATTGAAAAAAACATAAATAAATAAAAAAGCATTATAGTATTGCATCATAACATTAAGAGTATTAAATAAAAGGTAAGGTTTATAGAAAATACCATTTGTTTTAATTGATATATGTATCAAATTCAAATATTTCAGTTATGTTTTGCTTTAAGAGTTTTCCTTATTAATTTCCAAAATTTTAGTATCAAGTTCTTCAAATATTACTACATCAAAAATATTGACAGCAATTTCTCACACTCATGAAGATTCAGAAATTATTTAAAGGCTTTTTATTTGAATTTTAATATAAATTTAATACATATCAGACAGACGGAAAAGTGTCGGGTATGAGAGAAAAAATATCTTAGTAGGATATAAATGACTCTAAATTGGACCTACAATTCCTAATGATATTTTGAAGATAGATTTAAGATGTGCTTTATCTATAGATAATTGAAATTAAATCTTAATGACCTCATACAAAAATCACAGGCTTTATAATCATAAACCTTATTCCATGAAAACTGACAAGATACAATCGGTTCTTCCTCAAAAATCTTTTCTTCTGCTTTAATATCTTGTTTAGCGAATAAAGACCGTCCCTGAAAATTTAAAATAAAACCAATAAATATAACAAAATGTGAAGTCAATTAAATTAGGCTATTTGTTTACTTTTGTTAAAGTTTGCCGCACTTCGAAAACATCCATTTTGTTGTTTATTTTATTTAATCTAAAATGAAAACAACAGTAATAATTTTTGTTAAGTTTATAGAAACAATGAAGTTATTTAGCTTTTATTTTTAAGGTTAACAAGCACATGTAACAAAATCGGCTTGCCACAAGTAAATTTAAAAAAAAACAAAGAGAAGAAATCAGGGGTCGGCAACCTAATTTAAAATGCACGTTGGTACATGTGGGTACATGTTTGGTACTTTCGTTTTCGTACTCCCTATGTAGATTTAAATTTAAAAAATCCAAAATAGTGGTGTATGGCATCGTGCCTTAAGGCAAATTGCTGGAACTTCCCGTACCGTAACAGAATGTTCAAAAAATATTAAATGTTTTCAAATAGACTATTATGAATACTGTAACTATACTGTAACGTTGACTAATATTAATAAGAATTATATAAAACTGAATTGCAAAGTTAGAATTACTTATTTAAAGTATATAAGGGAGCTTTAGAACTTTAGCCAGAATTAAAATTAAAATCTGAATTATATTTTTGATATACAAAACAAAAATCAAAAGCAATTGTTTTGTCAACACAAGCAGAAAGTTTTTGAATCATTTTTATCGGATGCTTAGTTCTCTCAAAAACTGCCATTTTTCGCACATTTAGCTCGGTATCTCCAAAACGGCTGGACCTGCCTTTGCCAAAAACTAATCACCATTTCTCCCCATCATTACAAATTGAATGTTTTTTGTATCATTCAAAACGGATACACAGTTCTCTCAAAAACTCGATTTCTATTTTCTGCACTCTTTGCTCCGTATCTCTGTAACGGCTGGACCTGCCTTTGCCAAAAACTAATCAGCACATCTCAATACCAATAGGAATCGAATGTTTTTTGAACCATTTAAATCGGTTTATCCGTGCGCCCAAAAACGTGGACAAAAAATTGCAGACATAAATCACACACACATCAATTTTTTTTAGGTATGCCTAAATGTTCAGAAACCTGTGAAACGTGAAGATATGCAAAAATTTTCATTTTCGATTTTTGACCCATCACTATAACTTACCCTATAGAAAGTTTATACAAATGTTAAAACAATATTTGAATTTAAATTTAAGTTATTTTAGTCAAGTATAATAAAAAAACACAACTTGAAAACTGGATATTTTGGAATTTAGTAATTATTATATCAAATAATAATTACAATTACGGTCCACACACATTAATAACAAATATCCGTTGTTAAGAACTGTTAATAATTTAACTATAATAAATAAACTATAATAAATTGTTAATATATAATCATTATATAACTGTATGCATACAATGGCAATAATAAATCTCAAATTTGAAACTTCCAGTAAGAATCATATGAGAATCATATATTCAAATTGGAATCATATAAGAATTTCCAAAATTCACAATCATTTGAACCCAAAATTTAGTAAAAAAAAAGGGACATAATGGGTTCTGTAATCCTGACAACAGGGAATTATAAAAGGCTTTTATTAGAAGGGTGCTTGAAATTATTAAATAAGGGTTGTAATCGCCATTTTGAAATTTGTGTTTCTGCAAAAATCGAATATAGTAATTATTAATATTATTAATATTAATAAAAGAAATTGTTTTCTGTGATATGATTTCTTAAATACATTTAATGGTTCTTTTCAAATAAAATTGGCTATTATATAATTTATTTAAATTCACGAAACAAAATTATTATAACCTTGGTTTGACACTTCTAGCTGAAGTTTTTTTTATCAATCATGTGTCAATTAAGCCGGTCCAAGTTCTGATAAAAACCGAATATATAACCATTTGTACTTTTTCAATTCTAAATTAGAAGAAACCTAGTTCAAATTTATAATCATGTACCGTTCTTCTTGCACTTATTTAAAATCATTAACAAAAATTAAATTTAAAGAATTTGTCGATTCTTTTGACACTGTTTTAACCGATTGTGATGGTAAAATAATTATTTATCATTAATATAGTATTATATTATGATTATATTATAATGTATCGCAATTTTTTTATCATTAGGTGTTTTATGGATTGATCAAGATGCGTTACCGCAATCTTGTGATGTCATGAACAAATTTAGAGAACTAGGAAAAAAGATTTATTATGTGACAAATAACTCTACAAAAATTCGGAAAGAATTTTTGATAAAGGCTAATAGGCTAGGATTTCAGGCCACAGAGGTAATTAACTTTGACCATAATTATTGGCATTTAAAGCTCTAATATTGATAGCTTTGTAAGAATTTTACTTTCAATAATTTGTTCATTGTCAACAACGGATAAATGTTATATATGTTCTTTTATAAATATACTATTGATGTATTAAAAATAATTTATATACATTTATTCATGTTTCCATGGTTTTATATATAATAGTTTATATGAGAATGTTTCGGTACATTTAGATCATTTATTAGCCATAAATAAAATATATATTTTTTGTATCTTTTAATAAAGAATCCTATTGTAAACTGAATTACACATATCACCCATTTATTAACTGATTTGGATGTTTATAATCTCGCTATAGGATGAAATACAATGTACATCATTCTTGGCTGCAGATTATTTGAAAAACTTGGGATTCAAGAAAAAAGTTTACATAATTGGATCCGAAGGTATTGCAAAAGAAATTGAACTGGCAGGAATTGATCATCTACCTATTGGTGTATGTATTATTTTTAAATATGTAACATTTAATAAATTGTTATAAAAATGATCATATTTGAACTCCCAAACTTTAAATTGTATTTTTAATAGAAAGATGAAATGAATACTGACCTAGCGACTTATATTTCCACTTTGAAACAAGATCCTGATGTCGGAGCAGTAGTTGTAGGTTTTGATGAACATTTCAATTATTGTAAAATGATCAAAGCTGCCAGTTACTTGGATAATCCTGAGTGTTTATTTATTGCCACTAATACAGATGAAAGATATCCATCTAAAGCCAACATAATTCTACCAGGTAGTTCAAAAGCTCTAAAAACTAATACTGAAATAATCTTAATTTCAAAATCACTATTTTATTGTTAATCTTTAAAACATTTAAAATTTTCTTCTATTTTCATTATCATAGGAAGTGGTAGCATAGTACGAGCTGTAGAAACCTGTGCAGAACGTAAGGCTACAGTTCTAGGAAAGCCCTCAAGTTATATTGCTGAATCTTTAATCAGGCGTGGTTTAAATCCCGCAAGGACCCTCATGATCGGAGATAGATGTAACACAGATATACTTTTAGGGACTAGAAATGGTTTTCAAACTTTATTAGTTTTATCTGGTATAACCAAATTAGAAGAAGTTGAAGCATGGAAGATTTCTAATAAGCCTGAAGAACAAGAACTTGTACCTGATTTTTATATAGAAAAACTCGGTGATTTAATGGAATATTTTGATGAATGATAGGATAATTTTATAACAAAATTTATTTTGGGTATATAGGAGCTTTTATGGATATATATGTTTTAAAGTATTTTATAAATTTTAAACTTTTTTTATATTTGCTTTGTATTTTAGTTAATACAAATTTGGTTGGATCAATAATATCTAATGTAAAAATTAAATAAATTAATATATTACACTTGCAAACCTTTGTTAATTTAATTTCATTATTTTTACATTTCATTTAAACTCTGATTTTTTTATTAGTACTGTACGACTGAAACTAAAAAGTAGTAAATAACGGTGTTATGTGTATATGTACAGTATGTATTTTTAATCAATTAATAATAATTCTATTATTATTTTATCTTACAAATTCAACATTAAATAATATATAATCCTTATTTAAAAAATATAATAATAAAATTACAAAAAACACTCTTAAAAAACAATAAGAAAAAAAGAATAACAGTAATAAAAAACATGAATACTCTTTAGATTTTTTATGATAACGAATACTTATTCTCAACTTGTATACTTCCATACTACTTATAATGACATTACTTACAAATTTATTCCGATTTATTGTTCAAATGGGGATCCTCTTGATAATTTGCACATATTAAATACAATCCAAATATTATTAGAAGAAAGCCAAGCCACCATAAATATGACATAGATTCATCAAATACATAGTACCCAAATAGTGCCTATTGGTATAACAAATATCTTGTAAAGTGAAAAAAATATATTTTAAATCATTATATTAAGTCTTACAGATAATATGTAGTTAGCAGCCGCACTAGTAACTGTTGGGACGATTGTGTTACAGGATGCATTTAAAGCTTTTAAGTAAAATGTCCACATAGCCATATTACATAATATCATAAAGCATATTAAAACACCCTTCAAAAATAGGCCCTAAAAATAATTTTGGAAAGATGTAATAAATTGAACAATATTAATATTATAAACTTATTATTTATTAATAATTTTATTAATAAAATATATGCTTATTATAACGAATTAAATAAATAAATTACTAAATACTAAAATTCATTGACTAAGCAGTTACAATTTTGATGAATAAATTTTATATTATTTATATTTTGAAATAAAACTAGGCTTAACATTATATGGAGCCATGAAATTATTCAACGGGCTTCCCAAAGAGATAAATATGACCAAAGAAGAGAATAATTTTAAAATTAAGTTAAAAGAAATTATAAAAAAAATCTAGATAAATAAATTACACCAAAGTATGAATGTAAAAATGAATATATGTATGATTGGATTATAGAAAAAATGATATGAAATGTTGTAATGACCATATTATATATATAATAATGACAGAAAATAAATATATACTTCTGTATAGATATTTTGTATGATCTCTCATACCAGACACTTCCGTCTGTCTGAGATGTATAAAATTTATATTAAAATTCATCCAAAATCTTGTAATATGAATATTTTATGATTATTGATATCATATATCTTATTAATTTTGATTATTGTTGGATTATCATAAAAGGTAATACCAAAAATAAATTTGTACAATTGAAACATCTATAAAATTAGAGTTCATGTATTGGAACAATGAAACTAAAAAATATAAACCTTCATTGCACAATATGATAATAATTTGAGAAAATTAAATTATTATTTCCATCCAGATGATTGTTCCATCAAGTGCAGTACTAATGTATCATAGGAGATTGATATCAAAGAATAGTTATGAATAAAAATAAAAATGATTCATTATATACTCGCTACACCGTGGTATAAGTAATAGAAATAGCTAAAAGGAGTTGAATGGAATTCATAAGACATTTATAATTGGTTTCCTTTAAAAATAAAGTTTAAAACATCACATGAGTTTTTAAAATGTCTTTGAATGGTATCTTGCTTACCTGATAATCATTGTTTTCTACTAAACTTACTGCTTTTCCAAATAAGCTAGAAGTCGATGCAAAAGTTCCACAAATTATTGCAAAATATTTATTCTTAAATATAGCCATAATACTGAATGTATATCTAAGATATAAATTAAAATAACGTTATTATAATATAATTTATTGACACTGTGCACTGTAAACACAGCATTAATTTCTTATCATCTTATCAGCGGAAATGTTTTTATCAAATGTGAATAATGCATGTGAACACTGATTACTTAATAAATAATTTTTTATGTGGTTTTACTAAACTTTATCTATGATATAAAACAATTGTATTTGTACAACAATTTTTGGTTATATTTTGATGCAGGAGTTTCAAGTCAACTTTACTTTTCAACGTATATGACAGATGATTGACAACTGACAGATGATTGACAGATGATAGCAATATCGTCATCTCTGGCAACACTAATCTAATGTCATTATTGCAAACATTTTATTGTTTTTTCAAAATGTCAAAACAAAACGATTGTTATAGGAATTAGTTTCAAGTTATACTGCTTTGCATTAAGTTGCGGCATGCATACTATAGCAAGCCATGTTGTAACAATTTATAATTAGAACTATGCAATAGAATACTGCTTCAATTTTAAGTAACTTAATTTTTAATTTTAATGTAATTTAATTTGTTTTATGTACCAATTACGTTCCTTGATCTGTAGACAAATATTTTATGCCGGGTTATAATAATATGGAATCGATCCAGCAACCTTTTTAATGTAACAAATTTAAAGTTGCATGCCACTAAGTATAGTTTTAAATATTTATTTATTGTGAGGTTAAGCTCACATTTTAGTATTCTTTCATGCAAGTGTTAAAAATGAATTATGAAAACGCATTACCAGAGATGCCCCGACATCCTCCACCATGTAGTATTAATGTAAAACAAGTCAGATTCATGGGACCTAGCAGAGATTTAGAACTAAGCACTTTTGAATTACCAAGATCACCTCTGGTGTACGCAGCTGCACCTGTTACAAAACCTTCAATCCCATTGCCTTTACCAAAAACGAGTCAAGCATGTCAAACAGAAACACTTTCAACTGTGAGCAAAAGTTGTCAAACAGATTCGGATATTCAGGACGTTGCCTCCAACATTCCTGTGAATGATCTTGTTACGATGATTCAAAGGCAAGATCAAAAGCTGGAGAGTTTACATGAGAAGTTGGAATTGATATTGTGTCGAATTGATGAAAAGAAAGACTGTTCTTGTAACACAATTCCATCTGAAGCTGATATTCCAACTATATCGCCACCGGCTCTGGATAATGTATTGGGACAAGTGTGTAGAATCTAGAATTAACAATTTTTACATAGAATTATTAAAATATATTTAAGAATCACTTATTTATATCTATATATATGTATATATATATATATATATATATATATATATATATATATGTTTATATATATATATATATATATATATATTTATTATGTAAGAAATTTTCTATGACTTATTTTTTCCAATTAATCCTCAGCTTGAATCTTCATGTTTCATATTCAAAATTATTATTATTTCAGGTGGAAATGATGTTGAACACTCCCAGAACACCAATATTTAGAAATGATTTGTCCATTCCAAAAGTAGATCAAAGTGCTGCTTTTGATGCATTGGCCATGAAATATCTTCGTGGAGACGAAATTAATAAAATTGCTAAACCGAAGAAAGAGACTGATATGTCGCTGGCGACTGCTGCTTATCTACAACGGCATCGTCTACCTCATTAAAATTATGCAATTTAGTATAAAGAACACATTTAAATAATTTATTGAAATTGATGTTAAATGAAAATATTGACCAATATAGAAGTTTAGGAGTAAAGTATCAATAAACATTTAAATTGTATAATTAAATATAATAATTGAAGATAGAATTGTAAAAATTAGTATATAATTTAATTTTTCTGCATCGGTATAGAATTGAAAATATATTTAATTGCATGCCAAACCTGGGGCACTAGTTATGTACATATTCAGATAATAATAAATGTATTTTTAAAGTATTTTTTTAACACATTTAACTATAGAAATATATCATTGAAATAGTTTTGCATTTGTATTGTAAAAATTATAAAATTAAAAAATTATACAACAGGCAATAAGTTAAATGTTTTAGAAAAATTAAAAAAATGAGTAGAAAATTAGTTAATGGTTTCATTTTTATCCAACAGTATCAAACATAAATATTTATCAAACACCTTTCGAAGTGCAAGATGAGAAAAAAGAACTATGAAGTCTTCAAATATGAAACTGCTATTGAATGAAATAACTTAATAAAAATTACGTGAGAATTATTTATTTTATCGATTACTTACAAAGACTTGGTTTTATATCATTAAACATAGGGCAGTGATATTTCCAATTATTTACAATTTGTTTTTTAAAAGCTTCTCATATATATAATTTATTCATTACTTTTAGTTAAAATGATTAAAATTATCACATAAAACGTCTTAAGTGAAACAAATATTTTTTTAAACGTTTTTCAAAAATAGTACACTCCTAGAATGAATTTCCGTCACTAAATCAATTAAATATTCTGTCAATAAAATATTCTTAAACGACTACAATTGAAAGCTAAAGGCATGAGATCCATAGTCCTAACTAATTTATACAGACATTTATCTTTATGTATGCCATGTCAATTGAATATTAACCATAAATTAAAATACATTTAAATAGCACTAATCATTTTCACAGCTGGATCTATGAAAATATTAAATAATTTAGATTTATTACGTAGCTCAATATGCCATTATATATAAATAAGTTTCTTAATCATAATAAAATATTGTATTTTTAATCATATTTAAGATGGTAGTGTACGCTATTTCAGAACATAGCTATATTGTTAAGTCAAAATACAAATATTTATATAATTAGGAAAAGAATATTTACAATCTAAAATTATATACAATTTCAAATACATTCTCTCATGCACACCTACATATATACAATATAAATCGTTTTAATCTTATTTGGCTTATATATATATATATATATATATATATATATATATATATCCATTCAAATTGCTCTACATCATTCTGAACACAGTATGATATTCCTATTCAATATGGTAAAATATATCAAGTATGTGCTAGCAGAAAATAGCTGAACATCAAGATTAAAGATAAAAAAGATAAAACTCCAATTAATAAAATTTGATATAAAAATATTGCTGTATAATTTTTCGCTAAAATTGTAAAACGTGATATCGGCAGCACCAAATAAATTTTTTTCAATGATCACATATATTAATATAGTGAATTATTGCTGCTTGGAGATAGTTGAGGAGGTTGATGTAATGTGAAACCATCATAAACCTCCATCAACTCTTGCATTTTGAATTCTTCTAAACATACAAATCCTTCTAAGGTTGGAGATTGCCTACGAGCACATGCTATGCAATGCCCGACGTGTCTTTTCTCTTGTTCTCGAATAAATAATATGTTGAATACTTCAAGCTGAAAATTAAATTGTTATATATTTTAATTTCAAAATAATTAGAATATCTAAGATCTAAGTATAAAAGAATTTTTGATCAAGTACAGTAATATAAAGTCATAAACTTAATGGAACTTATATCTCAGAAGGTATTTTAATATAATGATGTAAAATCAGTAGAATTATTTTTTGGATTTTTAATTTCATATTAATTGTTTCATGCAGACACAGAGAGATATACATCAGATAGAATTAAACAATATTCCAATAAAATATTATTCATATAATATTTAGATTTGTATGTATTAATTGATTAATTGAGTAATTAAAATTAAAAAACATCATGCAATTAAGATATATTTTGACTTAAATAATTTTAACTTACTTCACATTGCCCACAGTAATGAGATGCCTCATTCTTCCCTCGACCATGAAATTTGACCTCGACTCCTTTAGATTTAACAAAATCCAAAACAAGCATGCAGTGCTTCAATGTTTGTAGTAAACAATTTCTGTAAATCAATAATGAATGATTAAAATCTTCATTTAATACTATTTTTACCATATATAAAAATTTGTTATAGATCAATCTTTGTATTATTACTATTTAAACCAATTTTTAAAGTTTTAAATTAATTTCAACTGTACAAATAAAACAATTGAGCTTAGCTCTTCACTAAAAAAGAACAAATCTACAATATTAATCTAATTGTAAGATAGATAACATTATCAAATATATATTTTTTTGCATATATGAATCTAATAAAAGTAACAACTTACTTAACAGCCTGGAACAATTTCGGATCTGAAACCTTGATATTTCTTGCCAAATTCCAACTCAAATGCACCATTGGTACAATACTTTTGAAGCTCTGCAATTTGTTCCATTCATAACGTTCAATAGCCAAGCAATATTGCCTTGCGGTCAACGGGCCCACATTCCAAGCAATGTTATTACACCAGCCTATGGCTTGCACCCAGTGCACACAACCAGCGTTAACCCACACTAAATCACCAGGTCTCTGTGTAAATCGGTAAACAGGAATATTATTGGCAGCAAGTTCTTCAAGTTTAGGCCACCATGAGCCATGAAGATAGTTTATATTGTTCTGTTCACAAAGAGCTTGTATTCCGCCCCAGTATGCATCAGGAACGCCAAACCATTCACAATCGCCTGGTCCAATGTTTATATTAATGGAGCAGAAATTGTTGTTTTCTTGGTGACCAGGCGTCCGGCTTCCTGGAACCTAGAATAAGAAAGAACAAATGATTAGACTCAATTGATTTTTTTTTTTTTTTTTTTAATTTCAATAATTATTACAACTGCTAATTTATTAACATCAAGTAATATTGATAAATAATAATATAAATTTAAATAAATAAATAAAAGAGCAAAGGATAAAATTTACATGAATATAATATCCGTAATATGATTTAATGTAAAATATAAGCAAATAATAATAATAAGATTAATAAATAATATAAATAAAATTTCAGAATAATAAAATAATACTAGAAAAATAATAAAATATAACAAAATAACAATAATAGAAATAGTAAGATAATAATAATAATAATAATAATAATAATAATAATAATAATAATAATAATAATAGTAATAATAAAATAATAATAGTAATAATAACAATAATAATAACAATAATAATAATAATAATAATTTACAAATTTATAAGATCGTTTGGAATTTTTCGTTTTAGTCTTGTTGGGCGCGCTTCTGAGTATACTTTGTTGGCCAATTGAAAATAGAATATAAAACTAAAATTAATTTTATTTTTTAAAATAATATAAGATACTTTTTATTACATACCTTCATATAAAGTTGTACAGTATTCATTCCCAATATAACATGGCCAACATGAGATAACATGTTTCCTGCAGAAACAACACGAGCAAATGCTGGGAGTTTCATCAATTCTTGAAGTTGAGCGCGCCATTTCTTTTCGTCCGATAAATCTACATTCGTTCCAAACCTGAAATATAATAAAAAAGCAAATGTAAGAGATAAATAAATGAATTAGTCTTCAATAAATAAGGGATCGTTCAAGTATTACATAAGCAGATTTATTACAATTATTTACCCCCCCATCCCCCTTGTCAGCAAAAGTAAGCAAAGCTCTTACCCCCTACCACCATGCTTACGTAAACATTTTGCAATTAATGTAAAAAAATAAAAATACTACCTATGACGTAATCATCATCCAGACTCCCCTGCCACCCATGTCAACCCAAAATAAGCAAATCAACAACCCCCCGCCCCCCTATAGTGTTTACGTAATTCTTGAACGGCCACTAACATGATTTTATAAATCCATCATCTAATTAAATATAATAATTACTTCAACATTTTTGATCCATTTGTCCTAGCACCTAGACCCTTTGTCTTCTTTTTCATAATATTTCCTGTAGAATCCTTTGAATCTGAATCGGATAAATTATTTATAGAAACACCTGGCAATTTATCCTTTTCTTCCTATAAAGATAAAACAAAAATAAATATTTATTTATTTATTTATTTATTTATTTAAATATATAGCCCACAGATTTCTCCAAGAGGACTCAAAAATACAATTATTTGACATAATGAATAACAATTAAAATATACACAAAATTACAATATATAGTTAGTAACATAAAATGCTAAGATAAAATTTCATATAATGCAGAATGTAACAATAATATTTATAAACAGAAAATAATAAGATATTTGAAAGAAAATAAAAAGATTAACTTGTGCAGATGGAGATTATTTGATTAGGTGATGTGTTGTGAATGTCTATTTCATTATTAATTAAGTTAAAGTTAGAGGACATTAGTAAAATTGGCGAATTTAAGAGAGAATTAGACTTAGGGGTGGGATAATTGAAAAATAATTGTGAACGCGAAGATAGCCTTGGAACATTAAAGGATAGTTGATTGAGAATAAGAGGACAGTCTATAGAATTATTGCAAAGCTTAAATAAGAACATAATTGTACAGATAAATCGACGTGAGGCAAGGTAAGGAATACTAAATTCTTTTAGTAAAGTGTTGTGGTCAAAGCCACGTTCAGGGTAAATTTTATATGTTTTATAATAAAGGTATTTCAGAAATTTTCGCTGAACCTTCTCTATCGCATCAGAGTTGTTAATATGATGAGGATACCAAATAATCGAACCGTATTCTAATTTTGAACGTACAATAGAATAGTACATGCAAAGAAGTGCATTGGTAGACTTAAATTGTTTACAATTTCTTAGTATCAAACCTAAAGATTGATGTGCTCTATTGCAAATATCAGTAACATGATCTGTGAAAAACAAACCAGAATCAAATAGAACACCTAAATCGGAAATTTTATTACATCTATCAATGCTGGTGTTAGAAATTTTATAATCAAAAAGTATTGGAACGCGCTTATGTGTAAAACTAAGAATCTTGCACTTTGATATATTTAGATGTAATTTGTTATAGATACACCAAGATTGGAAAAGGTCAAGTTGAGACTGTAATAATAAGCAGTCATCAATAGAATTTATTTTGAGATATAGTTTCAGATCATCTGCAAATAATAAATGTGGACAGTTAATAGTATCAGAAATGTCATTAATAAAAATAATAAATAATAGTGGACCAAGAATGGATCCCTGAGGAACTCCTGAACTAATATTTTCAATGTTGCTCAAGAATCCATTAAGAAAGACAAACTGCTTGCGATTATGAAGATAACTCTTGAAAAAGTGAATAAGTGAAGAATTAAGACCAATCATAGATAATTTAGTAAGGAGAATGTTATGATCAATTTTGTCAAAAGCTTTACTGAAATCAGTGTAAATAACGTCAACTTGTCCATTGATGTCAAGATTCTCAGCTATATATTGTTTAATACAAATTAAATTTGTTATCGTAGAACGGGCAGGCATGAAACCATGTTGATTAATAGAAATTAAAGTTCTAACAGAAGGAATTAGTTCTCTATAAATAATTTTTTCAAATACCTTAGCAAAGTTTGATAATAATGATATCGGCCTGTAATTAATAATGTTTGATGTAACACCTTGTTTAAAAGTTGGAACTAATCGTGCAATTTTCCAACAATTTGGAAAAGTGTTTGTACGCAAAGATAGATTAAATAAAAATGCAAGTGGATCAGATAGAGTAGATGAGCAATCACGTATAAAGAAAGATGGAATACCATCGAAACCAAATATTTTGGAGTTCTTAAAACTTGCTATTGCATGTTGCACAGTACTAGAATCAATTTCACCTATATCAATCATGATTCTATCATTATGATCAAATAAAATGGGTATGTCAAGTTTAGGCATATAATATTTTGTAATATTAGTAACAATATTACAAAAAGAATATCAGTCCAGTCATTTAAGCTTAAAATAGGTAAGAATCTCGGAATTTGAGATATTTTGCACCCTAAAAGTTGTCTCAAAACTACATATGATAGGGTGTACACAACATATGTAGGTTTTAAGACAACTTTTAGGGTACAAAATACAAGTATTTACAGACTTACAGCTGGGTATCTCAAATTCCAAGGTGAACTTACTATAATGACTAGACTATATAATTTTTTGGTAGTAAAACGTGATGACTTTCTGGAGCAAATGAATAAGTCATGACAAAATATTTATCTAGACTAATTATTTCAAGGTAATTGAATTTATTTTCTACCTTTAGACTTTCCTGAAAACTAGCTGCTTGATATTGTGCGTATTTGGCAATTGTAGTGTGCGATCTGTGCGATATGCAGGCCCAAACTTTGCGGCCCATCGAAGGATCCCAGTTTTCGTCGGCGCTCTGATGCATCTGCGTGCGCACCTCTATCGTGTGATCTGGATTTGTTTCGACCAAAGTCTTTGTTGAAAATAATCCTAAATCTGTAATAATATTATTGTAAAATTAAAGCAAATTCATGAATGCCTTATTACCTAAATATAATCCTATAATCATTTTATGTGTACCATTTTAAAAAGTTTATTTATTCCTTACCTAATTTTAAGGCGGCGGCCAACCCTCTGACCACAGCGATAGGATGTTTTAGACAGAACTCTTGGAGTTGAGGACTGAAGGCATCTTTTTTATTTTCTAGATAAACTGAGGGCGTAGGTGGCAGAAGTTGTTCTTCTGTTAAACGCAAAGGAGGGCAATCCGGCGGACTAGGTGGAGGTACATCGGACCCCAGGATGGAGCATGTCGGCACATCTTTTACACCCATTGCTCTGAAAAGAAAAATAGTTTTGAAGTAAATTTTAATTCAGATACAGTTAATATAAGATTTATACTACATCCTAAGAAATTCTAATTCTGACTCAATCAAATGTTATCGCTAATGCCTCAAATGAATATATATTATTCAATACATAGCACCTTATCAAATTTTGAAATTTAACAATATTATTATTATAATAATGACATACTTGCAAAGCTTCTGTATCGTTTTGCTATCCATGTCTGTTGAAAATACTAAATCTTTTGGTTCACTATCCAATATTTCAAGCTTTATTCCCGGATAACCTGTCTCTTGTTTTATATCTGGTTCAGTTTTTGTCCTAATTGGAATCTCTTTCTTTATCTCTGGCGTGTTAACAGCAGCATCTGTACTTGTACTATTCACACCTGAAACATTTTTTTTATATTAATCAAACATCTGTATTATCAAGAAGAAAATATTTCGCCGCAAGAATATTCGTTGCTAAAATATATATAATTTGAGTGTTCTAATATGTGAGTTAAATAACTTACTTGGTGGCCTGGCGGGTTTCATATCAAGATCTTCAGATCCAAAATGTTTTAACAGATCTTCAGCTAGTGATGTTGCAATATCTTTTTGAGACAGCAATGCTTGAAGATCTTGTTCCGTTACTTCCAAATCATTTTGTTGTGGGGTGTTTATTGCACTGGCCTATAAATTTAAAGATAATTTTAAGATGAGTCACATAATCACACCTATTACTAATTTTGGTCTTATTCTATCACTCATTCAAGATAGTTTCTTTAATAAAAGGTACTGAATAAGATGTATATACTGACCGGTTGTGCTGGGACTGCTGGCCTACTTGTGGGTTGCTGATTACGTTGCTGTTGTTGAAGCCTCAGTTGTTGTTGATGTTGCTGCATCAACCGATATTGTTGAAGCAAATGCTGCATCATATTCTGTAACAATAAAAAAATCAAATTTTTGTTCTTAAATAGTTTCATAAACATTTTTCATAGATGATATTATTGGAGTATTGAAAAATCACCTGTTGCTGCGGCGTAAGATTAGACGCGTTTTGTTGCAAGAACTGCAACATTTGCAATTGCTGTGGCGTGAGGTAATATCCAGGCACGGTGGTATTATTCGTTCCACCGTTAGGAGTTCCTGCTGCATTATCTAACTTAAACCTCTTATTGGCTGTGTACGGCGGTGGAGGTGCTTGGTGCTGATGAGGGTGCTGGTGCTGCTGCACCACGGCTGCTCCTGTCTGCTGACGGGCTGACATCTCGGCGGAGATTGGTCTATTCCAGGCCTCTTCTATCGACAGCAGTTGCCGACGCTTGCTGGTGATGCTAGGCATCGGAGCGTTAGCCAGACGAGACTGAAGGTACGCTATCCGTCCGTCTAGCTGTTGATCACGGTTCATACACTGAATTGATTCTGCTGAGAAATGAGTTATATGTAATTGTGATGGAAATAAATTTGATGTACTATATTAAATCTATTTACCTGTTCCTTCTCCTAAAAGCTCGCTGCCCTGATTAGATCGACAATCGCGTGCGTTTATATAGCACGCGTACGCGTCCCTCGGCTGCCCACAACTTTCGTACAGAATTCCAAGATTTGTCCAGGCTGATGAATGATGTTTGTATAATTGCAAAGCAGCAATATAAGCCTGCAAAGCGTCGACTGGTTGATTTTGCTGTTGATATAATACACCTGCAAACAAAGAAATAACTTTATTTTGTTCGACAAGTGTACTAAAGATTAGGCACATTTTTAGAGAATTTATAAACGACAGTATGTTTTTGCAAAATAAATAATTCAACAGATATATAATATGGTTTTTACCTATAGAACACCACGTATCAGCATTTCCTTCCGATTTCTCGACTGAATGCCTGTATGCAATAAAAGCATCATGCACTTTTCCTGCTGCCGAGTAACATCTGCCCAGCAAATACAGTGATTGTCCAGACTTCGGATCGGCCTCCACTGATCTCTGCAGAAATCGAACTGCTGCGGCTTCGCGCGTTACCCTGGGAAAAAAATAAAATTAATAACTGATCGTAATTTATACAAACATATATAAATATAAATTTAAAGTTATGCATATTCTTAAGAAATTAATTATTTCTAATTATTTGAATTATTTTTTATTATCACGAAAATATTAATGAAAGTCCATTGTCAAGTAAAAACATTTAATACTATAACACCTATGTTTGAATAAGAATTTATAGTTAGTAACTCATTAAAATACAATGTTGTCATGTGAAAGTTTAGAAATCCTTAGCACGGTTTTGTTGAATTACCTAATAAACACATATTTCATTTTATTTGAAAAGACGTAACAAATAGCATGAAAAACAATCCCTGTGTTAATTGAAGTTAAAGTTTACTAGCATTCCATTGCATTTGCTTTACATTTGCACTTTGTGTTAAGTAAATGAGTGAAAGAGTTCATTGTTTGTTTTTCAATCTAAATTCTGGCAATATTGTTTTAAAAGTTTCTCGTAAACAGTAAAGAATCTTCAGATTTCATTTGATTTATTTTTGGAGTTCTCCATGTCCCAGATTCATTAGAAATCTCTATTGGCAACATTTACTTATTTTTCGGCCTGCCAAACCCCTATATCCCAGAAAGAAGATAA